GTGTCTGGTTGAGTGGTTACCTGTTCGTGGGGTTTCTCGTGGAATGTTTCACGGGGTGTCTCGTGGAATGTTTCGTGAGGTGTCTCGTGGAATGTTTCGTGAGGTGTCTCGTGGGATGTTTCGTGAAGTGTCTCGTGGGATGTTTCGTGAGGTGTTGCCCAGTTGGGTATCGTGAAAACGTGTCCATGCTCCACATGTCTATATCCCTTTCCGGGTTCGTGGGTCCATCATGTTTGGACCCTGGCCATGCCGATCTGCGTGAGGGGTGCCACCGAATTTCAGACGTGTGGCAAATCCCCTGGTTTTTTGGACCCTGACCCCGCCGACCTGCGTGAGGGGTGTTAATGTTTACCCACCCCAGCAATTCAGACAACACGTTCAGGGCGTGCTAAATCTGCCCGGTTGGGCCTCCCCCCCCTCGCGCGGTCCATCATCAAGGAACAGCAAGCAGCAAGAAGCAACATTGTAACAGCGGAAATTGGAAGCTGCAACTGGCACATGAAACTGCGAACCTTCGGCCTGCAGCCTGGTGGCCCCGCAAGGGGGCCGGCGGATCTCCTCGGTCTCTCGTACTCCTGTCCTCTCAACCGATTCCGTGGCCATGCAGGCCCCGAGGTGCGGGGCTCTTCCCGTGGCTGCCGCTGGGCCCCCTGGCCTCCACGCCCCACCCCGCCGTTGCCGCGCCGCGCCATGCTGCGGCGGCGCGGCGGCGCCTCCCCGTGGGCGCTCACGGGCCTGACGCTCGCAGCACTCGCCGCGGGCTGTGGGCCGGCCGCCCGCGGGCCGCGCCCGCTGGGCCTCGCCCGCGCGCGCCACGGCTCCCTGCCAGCCGGCTGCGCTCAAGAGTGAGCCTTCGCCGGAGTGACCTCCTTGGTGCTCCGAGGAGGAAGATCGGAGGTGGACAGACCTCCTACCCTGACACGTCGAGAAAGGAATTGGCCGTCTTCGGTTCGCGAGAGGGCGTCGCGGCCGTCATTGTTGCGGGTCCAGGTCCGTCGGTTTCGGTCCCAGGCCGTTTTCATTAAGGGGAGGTTTATTAAAGGGAGGCTTGTCCACAGCCGAGAAGAGGCACCGACGCTGATACCGCTACCCCCGCTCGTTTTCCCCTCTGGGGGGCCTCCTGGGCAGCCCTCGTCGCCACGGCTGGATTCGCGTCGAAATCCTTGTCAGAACGCACCCCGGGGAGAGGTCTGCGGAGTAGCGGTGCGGCTATCTTTGGTCTCGCCAGGTGGGGGCCCACAGCAGCTTGCCCAGCATCAGCCTGCGCGTTCGGGTTCGGCCTCCCCGAGGCCCCCCAAGGCTCATCCCCAAGGTTCCCGACCCCTTCCTTCCCTGGGCGCAGCTTTCGTCCCCGACTCATGTTGGATGCCCCCGGGGCCCTATGACGGGCGCCAGGAGCCAGAATTGAATGAGAAACCTCCAGATCGAACGAAGCGCACATCCGCAGAGATCTGGGTCGGCGGTGACGGCGGCGGCGACGGCGGCGGCGGCGGCGGCGGCGGCCGGCGGCGACGGTGGCGACGGCCGCGCGCACCAGAGATCGCTCTTGCCCACGTAGGCTCGCTCTTGGCGGGCAGCCGGGGCCAGCTCTGGCAGCGGGGCCTCGGCGCCGGCGGGCGCGGGCGGGCGGGCCGCGGCGGCGCGCGGGGGCCCGGAGGGAGAGCGCCTGGGAGACCCTGGGCGTGCCGGGGGGCTCCACGAGGGAGGAGATCAAGGCTGCGTACCGCCGGCTGGTCGTCACACAGCACCCAGACAAGCGGCCGAACGATCCTCGTGCGGAAGCCCGCTTCCAGGAGATCACCGCTGCATACCAGGCGCTGGTCGCCGCGCCAGATGCGGCGGTCGCGGATCCTGAGGATCTCACCGGCGAAGCTAGGGAAGCAGCGGACAAAGCCATCCGGGAAAAGGCTGCAGTGATTGCGGAATTGGCAAAGTTCGGCATTACCCCGGAGTCCGTCGAACGCATGCCTTTCCTCATTACCGTGGTCGCGGTCTTCGGTCTGTTGTATTACGTTGCTTTTGAGACAAGGACTTTCGAGCAGGAGTTTGGTATTTCCTTCCGTCCAAGCTACAAGCCAGAAGTGGAGCGACTGAAGCGCGGCAAGGAGTTTCTGAAGAAGAGGGGCATGGTGCCCGATGCAGACGCTTACACCGAGGAGGAGCGGGCCATACTTGGCGACTGGGTCTTCCAGATCGAGCCCGATCGTGTTCGATGACCCTTGCATGCTGGCCAGTCGTCGTGGGCATAGCTTGCCGATCATGGGAGCCTCCGTGGAGGCCCAACAACTCCTGCCGGTGTTGGGGAGTTCGTCCGGATTTCGTCGGAATTGGTCGACCTTTGGGCGAGATCCGGACGAACGGGTGAAAAGGGGTGGTTGGAATTTGGCATTAGGTCGGGCATGTTCTCCTACAGGCGGATTTCGGAAGAAAAACGGATCAGAGTCCAACAAATAATCAACAGCAGTCCGAAATAGTTAAAGCATCGTCCCCTGAGATATGTTTAAATCTTATGTCTCGATACTCCTGCTGTACAGGGACATGCCCGACCCAGATCTGCACCCCCAGCCGCCGCGCTACTCCTCCTCCTCCTGCCTCCTCCTCCTCCTCCCTCCTCCTCCTCCTCCTCCTCCCTCCTCCTCCTCCTCCTGCTCCTCCTCCTCCTCCTCCTCCTCCTCCTCCTCCTCCTCCTCCTCCTCCTCCTCCTCCTCCTCTCCTCCTCCTCCTCCTCCTCCTCCTCCTCCTCCTCCTCCCTCCTCCCTCCCCTCCTCCCTCCTCCTCCTCCTCCCTCCTCCTCCTCTCCTCCTCCTTCCTCCTCCTCGCTCCTCCTCCTCCTACCCTCCTCCTCCTCCTCCTCCTCCTCCTCCTCCTCCCCTCCTCCTTCTCCCTCCTTCCTCCTCCCCTCCTCCGCCCCTCCTCCTCCTCCTCCTCCTCCTCCTCATCCCCCTCCTTCCTCCCTCCTCCTCCTCCTCTCCTCCCTCCTCCTCCTCCTCCTCCTACTCCTCCTCCCTCCTCCCTCCTCCTCCTCCTCCTCCTCCTCCTCATCCTCCTCTCATCACCTCATCCTCCACCTCCTCCTCCCTCCTCCTCCTCCTCCTCCTCCTCCTCCTCCTCCTCCTCCTCCTCCTCCTCCTCCTCCTCCTCCTCCTCCTCCTCCTCCCCTTGTAGAGGGACGTGCCCGACTCAGACCTGGCAGAGGCAGGCCGGGAGCACGCCTTGCGAAGTGGCCGGCGCCGCGGCGCCCGGCAGCGCGAGGAGGGCGGCCGGGTGCGGCGCGGGCGCGGAGGCGTGGGGCGTTGCTCCCCGGGCTGCGAGCCGCGGCGGCGGCCCGCCAAGCGTGGGGAGTTTTCGGAGTCGCGAGGGGTCGGCCAAGGCTCGGGCCGAACGAAAGGGGGGGGGGATAGGGACAGGGGAGGTCGACGAAATCTGCCGCATGCAGCTGGTCTCGGCCCCGCCGCCGGGCCCATTCCTCGATACGTGGGCGCCTCCCGGCGCCGGGAGGCGCCGGGAAACTCAGCTACGTGAGCTTTCTCAAACCCCCCCTTTGCTATCCCCCCCTTCGCCCGGCCCGACAAGGTGCAGGCTCCGGTGCTCCCGGGAGGGAACTCAACGCCCCCCATTCACGCATGAAGTGGGTGAACAAACCAGGTCCGCTCTGGAAGTCTTTCCCGGCGGCAGGGAACGGTGGGTTTAGTATGCCCCCCCGTGCGTCTTGTTCGCTTTTCTTTTCCGTGCGGTCATCTTGCAGTCACCAGAGGCCCGAGGTGTCTTCGGTGTCTCTTGGACTTGGTGGCCACACTCAGATAGACTGCTGAAGCGTGACGGAGGGGGGGGGGAGGTATGAGGAGGGGGGAAAGGAGGCGGAGAGAGGCAGTGGGGAAGGAGGAGGGAGGAGGTCCCACCCTTCGTGCTCCCAGTGTGCCCTCCTCTGCGGGCCCAAACGGCTTATGGTTGGCCCGCTGCTGACAGTTGCAGGAATTTGGGAGATTCGCGAAACCGGATGGGGCAGGGTGGAAAGGGCAGAAGGAGTGAGAATGGAGGACAGGGAGGGGGGAGGCAACAGGGAAGAGGAGGGGAGAATGCAGGGTCGATGTCGATCCGATCGATCCGATTCGACATCGGTTCCGGCTGGCACTCGTTTTCGTCGTTGGGGAAGGTGTGCGTTGTGTTTGTACAGATCTCCTTGTCAACATCCCCCTTCACAAGGGGCGTCCAAGAGTCCAAGACGGGGGGAGAATCATGGCCCCTCGTCTTCTTTCAATGCTTCCCCGTGCCCACCCCCTCGAGCGCGCACGTGCCGCGGGCCATGATGCGCTGACCCCCCTCGTCGTGACCCCCCTCGTCGGCGCACTCGGCTTCGTCGTAGATCAGGAGGGGCCATGGGGAAACCAAAAGGTACCGATACCGCTACTCCCCGGACCTCTCCCGGGGTGCGTTCTGACCAGTGTTTCGAGGCGAATCCAGCGGTAATGGCATCCCTTGCTATGTTTCCTGTCCCCGCCTCCTCCACCAAATTGCCCTTTCTCGTCTCGCCATACCGTCGGACCCGCCTTCTCTGTGGCTCGCCCTTGGGACGGAGTCCGGATTTCAAGACGCTGACCTGTCTGTGAATACACCCCGGGGCTTCGCGGCCCATACCTAGTCGATCTTTCATACGTGTAGAGTTGAGTTGATAGATGTCCGTGCACTGCTCGGCCGCCACACCTTCCACCTTTCAGTTCGCCATGCAGCGCTCACGAGGCACCATTTTATCGTCCGCCAAGGGACGTGCGCTCCTCCTCCTCCTCCTCGTCCTCCTCCTCCTCCTCCTTGCTGCTCCTGCTCCGAATCCGCTCTTCCCCCTCCTCTGCCTCCTGCCTGCTTGCTTGCTTGCTTGCTGCTCCTGCTCTCCCTCCTCCTCCTTCTCCTCCTCCTCCTTCAGATGAGCGAGGCACTTGGCGAAGGAGGGCTTCCCACATACACTTCCTTAGACTTGATGGATGCACGCGAGAAGCCGTGGATCAAAACATGGACCAGGCAAGACACCAGGCAGCAGCTCGAGCGAACCCTCAAGGACGTGCGCGAGAGTGCCCTGGAACCCCTTGCCCTGCCTCACTTGGACCTTGGTCGGTTAGATCGCATCCTCCAGGGTGTTGAGCGAAAGTCGCGAGGATGTATCAACATCAGTGCTCGAGATATTTCAAGGCTGCCGCCATCCAATCGGTCCAATCTCCTAGAAGTAGCCCCCGTCGCGCGGCCGTGGCAAACGTTTCGTGCTTGGGTAGCCCCCCCGCCCAAATATTCTTGAGCTGACCGCAGCATGGCTAGTTTTGCTTACGTCGCCCATGGGAGCAGATGCGTGGAGATTGCACTGACCAGTGGGCTCTCGATGGCCAGCGAAAGGCGAGATTCGATGACGCTGTCAGAGGCAGCTCGGCAGTTCGAGCTGCGTTACGTCTCTTTGTGTTAGACGATAGTGCTGCTGAAGTTCACATCGCCACCACATCCGCCCTCTCAGACGCTGATAGCTTCTATGACAGTTTAGACCCAGCGCTCGTTTTAGAATTAGGCATGAAGCATAGTTTTCCCTGTGTCGTGCTCGCCCTAAGCATCCAGCTACACCCTGCTCCGATGTCCTTGAGGAGTTTGCGCTCCTTCCCGGATGTCATCCTTCCGTGGTGGCCTTCGTTCGTCGGATGCAGGTCGACCCAGCACCTCGCGGCGCGTGTGCTGATGGACCTCATGACAGAGGCCAACAATAACTTTCAACCACGGATCGAGGCGCGGACATGAGTCGATGACATTACGCGCAGAGCCGAGGGCAAGGTTGAGTCGGTCACTGCTGAGACAGCTCATTCCGTGCAAGATTTCAAAGCAGGTCTCGACAAGCTCATGATGAATTCGCCCCGTAAATCCAGCATCATTGCCTCGTCATCGCCCATAGCTAAGGATCTGAGCGCTAGGCTAGATAATTACCACCCACCAAACCACCCCAACCCAACCCGAAGGCTCAGATTTACCCTCGATTTCCAGTGGGGGGGGGGTCGGGAAACATCGAAAAAACACATGTGGAACCCTTACCCCCCCAACCCGAAATTCGGGTCTTCGGGTTGGGTTGGGGTGGTCGGGTAGGTAGTCACATAAGGAAAGCATCGCTGTGCAAGCTGCAAGCAGCTCACAAGACATCGGGATTCACCGAAGCCACAATGCGCATCGCCGCCAAACCCGAGGCCCCCAGAGATGGCGCAAAAGGGTGCGACGAGGCTGCCAGATTGCTACGCTACGTTCGTTCAAGCAGCGCATCAGACGCGAACTTTTCCAAATTGCGAGCTGTTCCCATTGCCACGTATGAATCCAAACTTTTCGGCGTTGCGCCACGTAGCTTCCGGAGGCTACGCCAAGCCGCATGCCGTGCGGTCTGGGAACAAAAACAGGGCTGTTGTCCCACTATTGTTTTAGCTCGTAGGTTTGGATCCAGTAAACCTGCGGTGGCTGCGGTGTTGGACATGTTGGCGGAGTGGTTCCAGGCACGAGCAACGCCAACGCAGACAACCGGCACGACGACGACCATCACGACCACGACGACGACGGATGCGACGTCGACAGCGCGCCACCAGATCCAACACCAGATGTCCACGGCGACGAGGATGCGACAGATATATTGGAGCTTTGGGTCGAATGGATCCAACGAGCAACCCGCAAGGCAGAGGCGGCCATTGCAAAGCTACACATCAATAGCTGGCCGGCTACTGTACGTCAGCGCAAGTGGCCTTGGGTACAGAGAATAAGCAGGAGTGGTGAACAAGAGTGGACACGGCTAGTACTTCAATGGGCTGCACAATTGGATCCAACGTATGATGCTAAGCGCAGGGCTGGCAGGCCCAAGTCAAGGTGGATTGATGACATACGACGTTCCTTTTGCAACAAAAATGGGTGTGACGACATGGATATTTCAGATATTTTCAACATCGCGTCAACGGGTGATTGGGGCACCATCGGGCCTGGGTACGTTGCATACCAAGCATAAGACATGAGCGGGCTGCGAAACCTGAGCAGTCTTCCGGCGCCCCGGCGCTGCGCCCGCAGCACCCTGGATGGTAAGCTTTCGCGGGAGCGAGTGAGTGAGTGAGGCGGAGTGGTTCCGTTATTTGAAACGTGACAGGGCCCCGACTGAGCGGCGCCAAGCCGCTCGGGGGAGAATCCATCGCCGCATCATCACCCTCCCATCCGCAGATGGTTCCAGCTTCGATGCCCTATTTCTGCGATCGTCACCTCTCCTCCTCTATCTTGGATGGGGCGCCCCTGGACCCCTCGAGCGGCGCGACCCATTCGAAGAGCGCTGGGAGACCCCGTTCCAGATCTCTCTGATCTCCCCGCCGTCCTTGCTTCCTTCGACACCTCCGACGTGCTGGCCACCATCCACGCCCCCGTGGGGAGGAAACTGCGGGTAGATGCGTCCACCTTGCACCTGGGGGGAGGCATGGGGGAGGGCGTCGTTCTGTTCAGTTTGCGCTGGCAGTTAGCTAATTTCGACAAGGCCCAGGAGTATGAGCGACGGGCCGCGATCGAGCGCGCAGCAGCAGCAGTCATGTGGCCACGTCAGCGAATCGCAGACTGTGTCGTGGGAGAAATCGATCCCACCTGTCCCAGTCGTTGCCAGGCGCCAGAGACTCTTCGTCATCGAGTCTGTCGGTGCCGTTGTAACGATGACATACCAGAGTGTCATGACATGCAAGACGTAGTTGAGGCAGCAGAGGCTGGCTTTCCTCGAAGAGAATTCGAATGTTTCGTTTTGGCTCTGGGGCATGACCCCGCCCACCCTCGCGCCCCTTCCCGCCCCCCTGAAGCAGTTGAGCTGCGGGGCGCAAGCTGCCTATCTAATGAAGGTGGCGGAGGCGCAGCCCCCGTCGTCGCCCAGCCCCCCGCCGATATCGCGGGTCGCCTTGTCGCGGGAGACGGGCCCAGGCGCGAATGCCGAGGACCAAAGGCTTAGGCGTTGTGCTTGGGCGCGGGTCGAGTTCAACCCGATGAAAGTGGATGCGGAGATTTGGCGCCGTAGGAGTGCCCCTCCAGCACGCCGCAGGCAATTTAGTGACAGAGCCGAGCTTTTGGCAGCAGCTCCCTGGGGACCTGAGCTACCTGTGCGATTCGAGCTATGTTGTCCGAGTTTGGTTTAAAGCTTTGGCTTCCGGCCAGCCCAAGTCTAACCAGGATCCGCGGTTTTCCTTGGCCCAGGTAATTCGTCTCAGACTTGGCCAGGTCAGCACAATTAAGGTCGAGAGCCACGTGAGCGCGGACCGCTTCCCTGCCGGTGGCCTCCCAGAGCAGTTTCGTTTGGCCAACGTCGAAGCTGACAGGATCGCAGAATGGGGCTCGAGGCGCTGCCAGATCGACCCTGAGATTACCCATAGTGCGATCGTTATCGATACCCTTGCCGAGCAGATCAGGATCCGCCTGGCCGCCACTCAGTGCATCTGCTAGCCACGACGGTCGCGGACGGAGAGAGAGGGCCAAGCCTTTCGTGGGCATTCGGAAAGTTGGCTTGAGTTTCCTTGAGACGGCGGTACGGTGTTCAGTTCTTGGCTTCTCGCTTTAGTCGCAGGCTGTGCCACCAGAAGCCGTCCATGGAGGGGGTGATTGAGTGGATTTCGATCTCGTGCGCACCGATCGATTATGCTGCTGCCCCCCTCCTCCCCCCGCCCTTCTCCTCTCCAGATCGGGAATCAGCTCGTTCACCCCCACACATGCCGCACGATTTTCCGACCACGCTGTTGGGCGTGCGCGTCGTGCGGCGCCTTGGGAATGGGCCGTTCGATTCTTCCTTGCGCCCAGCCTCGTCGGCCCGGCTCGAAGAAGGGAGACGTGAGTCTCAAGAGGCTGGAGCAGGGCCCCATCCCAGGCGCAAGCGCCCGAGCCAAAGCCTTCAGCGCCAAGGCCAAGGCGCGCCCCCCCTGGGAGAGTGGAGGAGCTCCGCCCCCTCCCCCCTCCTCCCCCCTCTGAGTCTGATTGAGCGCTCGGTGCAACTCCTCCCCCTCCTCCTCCTCCTCCTCCTCCTCCTCCTCCTCCTTCTCCTCCTCCTCCTCCTCCGCCTCCTCCTCCTCCTCCTCCTCCTCCTCCTCCTCCTCCCCCGGCGCCGCCTGCTGCTCTCGCTGTCGCTGCTGCTGCTGCTCGCACTCCTCTCGCCGCCGCCGCCGCTCGCGCGATGGACGCCGCTGCCTCTGCCTGGGCCTGTCCTCTTGCCACGCCGCCGCCGGCAGGCCAGCCTGTACCAGACGCTGGCGAGAGCTGGAGCCCCCATCGTCTGCCTCCACGGCGCCCGCCGCGCTGCGGGGGCGGGCGGGGAGTTCCATGGAAGGGGCAGGCGTCGAGGAACATATAATCATATCATACGCATGAGCATTCGGAGGAACGCGCAGTTTTTCTGGAATCGGCGCTGGGCCCCTTCTGGCGGCGCCTCCGGCGCCGTCCCGACCGGGCAGGGAAGAGGTTCCAAGAAATCCGCGCGGACCTCCGAAGAATCGTGCGTGCGTGTGTGTGGTGTGTGGTGTGTGGGTGTGTGGGTGTGTGGGTGTGTGGGTGTGTGGGTGTGTGGGTGTGTGGGTTTGTGGGTGTGTGTGTGGGTGGGTGGGTGGTGGGTGGGTGTGAAGGTGTGTGTGTGTGTGGTGTGTGGTGTGTGTGGTGTGTGGGTGTGTGGGTGTGTGGGTGTGTGGGTGCGTGGGTGGGTGGGTGGGTGGGTGTGTGGGTGTGTGGGTGTGTGTGTGGGTGGTGTGTGTGTCTTGTGTGTCTTGTGTGTCTTGTGTGTCTTGTGTAGTGTGTCTTGTGTGTTGTGCGTTGTGCGTTGTGCGTTGTGTGTTGTGTGTTGTGTGCGGTGTGTTGTGTGTCGTGTGTGGTGTGTGGTTTGTGGTGTGTGGTGTATGGTGTGTGGTGTGTGGTGTGTGGTGTGTGTGGTGTGTGTGTGTGTGTGGTGTGTGGTGTGTGGTGTGTGGTGTGTGGTGTGTGTATGTGTGTATGTGTGTGTTTGTGT